CAACAAATTGTCATCTTGGATTTGGTATTTAACTTCGTTTTCTTTTCTAATACACTGACATCTTACTAAAATGTTTTACTCAAATTATCTCAGTGTTATACTGTTCTACAGCATACCATAATCTGCAAGTCTTCTATGATAGCTGGGGATTTGTCTATGTCCTGTCGTGACTTAAATAGGAATGTAATCTTCTATAAGAATATTAATCATTATGATTTCCACTTATTTGTTGTTATGACGCCAATGAGATTTCACCTGTTTTACTCTATTGTCCATTGCCAGGTACTGATTTCACTGAATTGGCATCAAGGATTGGCTGTGATAGAGAATCAGTTCGCGTTTGGTTTTGTAACAGACGTCAGTTAGACCATGAATGCTCTCAAAAAGTTTAGAGTGACCGCTTCAGTAGATTTTTAGGATTGTTATCAGTAGACCGTTTATTTACTTTCTTGTTCATCCACTTTATCGTATCGCCGAACAATTTTAAAGAAAACTACTATTTGAGAATTAAATTTCTCAACAATTTGTACATTTGTTATAAGTTGTTTATACTATATTTTTATGCTGTTAATTCTCCATTGAGACCAAACCTTCGCAATAAATTGTCTTGTTCTATGTTATTAAAAAATTAACCGGTAACTTTAGTGGATCCAAGCATATGATGTAAACTAGGGAAATCTCCCATTACATGTACAAAATTGTCATGTCAACATTTTGTCTGGAAAACAGCATCCAATGAAGTAACTTATGGTGTGCGGTGCTGGGACTAATACTCACACAAACTTCCTATATGCAATATACTCAGTGGTACACTAAAACTGTGAGAAGTTTATTGGTTAGACTGAATCATATGTTAGCACTCATACATGAATGTCTACCACTTGGTCAGTAACACACACTCGTCATTTAGATTATTGATATGACGTGGCTCCCTTTGATGAGTTTGTTGGCCTATTGTGTTAATAACTGTTGGTGAACATCACGGGGGCAGTATATGTTAGATGAAGCCAGGTGTTTATAGGCCATCCGTGATTGTAAGTTACTCTGCCCGCCGTATCTTCTATACGATGTCTCCAGGTTACTACAGACTAGCTTTCTGTATGTACAGACTCTTCATAGTGTCACGTAAAGACTTAGTCTTGAGATGTAATCTGATGCTATTCCTATGTTCTGCATTGTACACTATTTTCTTCCGAAATACCTGTATCTTACGTAAGTTATGTCAGTGTCCCCGAATGCCCTGGTACGACCGAGAGTGGGGAGAGTCAGGTCATACTCTCAAAATACCTTCACGTGGCTACGCGTATACAGCCACCCGTCTTTTTCAGCATCTTCGTGCTAAACCACAGAAAACATTTGTGGAACATACGAAATTACACCGCGCCATCGCTTACACCATTCATTGTCGACATCTAACTGCTTGTTGCAACATAAACCCCGAAAATCAGTCTTACAAGCATTAATCTGTCCTCTGTTTATATTATCCATGTGCTTTGTAGCACGTCAACCTGATTAGGTAACTTATTAGAGTAAAGCCCGTAGCATTTGTAAAAAAATCGACCTTGCCTACAAAGTGGCATGTCTAGCGTAAGTAATGATTCATATTATTCTATGAAGATGATCGCTTAATCGTATGTAAGGACAGAAAACTTCATTTACAGCATCCGAACCTTATTTTTTCGAACGACTTAAAAATCATGGCATCAATGTAAACATTCAGAAATGCCAGGTTAGGACCAACCCTACAGATTTTCTCCGACACGCTTTAAAAGCTCGAGTCATCTGCCCTCTGACAAGCAAGAAGGCAGCCATTGTCGATCATCCAGAACCGACCACTGCTGAGCAATTATGTACGTTCAACGTCCTGGCAAGTATCTATCCATTGGTCATACTAAATTGTGCGTTGTCTATGATTGGACACACTCAGGCAGTTTGTGAAACTGCTATTTATTTCGCTGAAAGCAGTGCTGAATCTTGTAACTCCGATCCGAATAAGTTGAGTGTTTCTAATTATCATTTGTGTTTATCCACGACTTCGGAAAACACTGTAGAGTCATATGGCAATCCAGAGTTAAATGAGACTCGTTATCATTGTGAGACAAAAGCCTCTAGTCAATCAACATCCTCTCGGATTTCTCATGTTATTGTACTAAATATGGTTTGTCCTAACAACTCACATATTTCTGATGAAATTTCTTATAAATCTGAGGAAAATATGTTGAATGAATTAAATTATGATCAAAAATCTGATGCAGTTTTTATAGAAGCTGATTTTTCTGGTGATCGGTTACCCTCCAATGACATTGATGATGTCACAGGTATTCAGTGTTTGGCAACGCTTCTACCAGTAACACCTTCTAATGTATTTCGTTCCCACCAAGAGAAATCAAAAGACAGAGTCGAGGGGATCGGAAGAGTATATTTGGCGTTGACCAATATATCGGAATTCTCTGATCTAATCTGGCTAGCGATTGCGGTTGATGTTGAGCACGGCGTTACCACACGTGATCTGGTGCGGATGCCTGACCGAGCGCCTTCAGCTAGATGAGTCCACTAAAACATATGGTCAGCATCCAATGTCGAAAACTTAGTGCTATTTATTTTGGGGATTTATTTACCGCTACAACATTCTTGATAAATTTGACGGAGAAAAACTTCATAAGAATCAAATCTTGATGATGTCATATCAAATGTCATTTGTCCTCACAATGAACATGCTCCTTGTGTTTTGTCATAATGTTTCATTTATTGCTAGTGAAATCTTTCTCACATGTGTGAAACAAGCATTAAATGAGTTAACATCTCATTAAATTCCTTATGGTGTCGCATTAGAGGTTATTTGTCCTCATAACAGATTCATCTTTAGTGACATCCACAATAAATTTTACAAACATGTTCCAAATGAATCGACTTCCAGTCACGTTTCTGATGTTGTTTAACAGATGTTGGATATTCTCACAATCATTATGTGTCGAGAGTAATTCTTTGTCAGTGATGTGGTGAATCCGAAGGAATAGCAGTTTTCTCGAAGCAGTCGGAGACCTAGTTTGCCCAGATATGAAGTTTGAATAGGCAGGAAATTTAAAGCGTATCCAAGATTATCCTAATAATTATGAAGCAGATGCATATTTTTCATTTAATTGTTTTGCAGGTGAATCACATGTGTCAATTGCACATATCAGTGTACAATTATCTGATAACTGTAACAATGGTTTTGTGTGTTTTATTGTGAAAAGCAAAAGGAATATGTATCATATTTTTATGCAAGTCAAAGTGACATGATGGAATGCCTCGAATTATATGTCCCCAGATACTCACATAGAATAATAATCGAAGTCCATGTGAGAAATATGTTTTAAAGGGAACCACTTTATGAATAACTAGGGGATATGAAGATTCAACATGATTTCGTGGGGAGAAATATTTTTGGAAATTCTGGGGTTCAACCTTTATGTATTAGTGATTTCACTAAACAGCCTACATTCTGATCATCTGAAATTACAGGACCCAGGTGAGTCAGTTCCAATTTCACTTATTCATTCTACTACTAATGAGCATATTCTAGATCACACAGATACTCTATTCAACGCACAGTCTGACAGATATACAGTGAGCCTCAGGAGAATACGTACAATTAGTTACTGAAAATTAGATTCCAATTTAAGTTGTATTGATTGCGGTGATTGTATGAACTAACGATTCTTTTGTACTTGATGCCTGTCTGGTTTTGAACTCCAAATACAGTACGTTCGTTTGTGCTCACCTAGTTTATCTGGTCTAATTTGCGTCATTTCCGGGATTCCTAGTTCGTATAGCCATTCAAGTATTTCTGACCATCACAAATAGTTTCGCAAACATTCCACAATTATGTTGACACCGTTTGCGCTACCTAATGATGAGCTCTCAAAAATAGCTTCCAGATCACGAATCATAGTGAGACGCTTCTCCTTGTCACTATAAAATACTAAAAAATTAATATTTCTCGAATCCAGATTATCCAATCGATGTGTTAGCTGCACAGTTCTTATCTACACATAATTTTAGTCTAATTGACTGTTTAACTGACTACCAGTTATTTGGAAAATGAGCATTTTTATACGTAAGATGACCTATGACTAGTTACATAGTGTAGAGTAGTAATATTTCTTTGCACTGTATCTATCTGTTGTCGTCCGTCTGCATAAAAGAAACTCTTAAAGAATACACTCGCTTCCCGTTATCGGTAACGAAAATTATTCAGACTATATATCTGGAAATAAGAGTGAGTTCTACTTCGTCCATTTCACCGAAAAACAATGATGTCATCCAAAAACAAAAATATTTCTGGTGTGTAGAACACATGATGGCATCAAAAGGTAATATTGACAACTTATAAACTGTACAATTATGTACCAAACAGTCTGCTTTAGTTGTTTAAGCGCCTGGCGTGAAACTGAGAGGTCCTGGCTTCGAATCTCGCGGGGTGCGGGACCGTGGACGCTCACTGTCGAGCAGTCCCATGCTAAGACGAAACGGCCGTTCAGTGCTTCCGGGTTTTCCATGGTGGTCTAGCTTTCATTGATTCATGATTTCAATTAGTGAAATCTGCTTTATTTTCTTAAGCTAATTCCTTCAAAAAAATCGCCTGACATTTAGTCTAGACTTTGCGGTACTGAAAAGACTGCTGAAGATGTTTCGCTTCATTCAATCGTTTAATAATATATAGTACTTCGTCAAGCTCCCGCAAGATGAAGACAGATTTGAACAATCTTTTTACGCGCAATTGTAGGACCAAGGATTCTACGAATCATCTAAGCGGATACAGTTAACTAATGTAGTACTACATGACAAATTAATTCATATTCTGTTTACCCCTTAGTCTAGTATTAGACAGCATTCAGCTAAAATCTTACTTTCAGTACTTTTCATACTTACCAATCCGAGAGAAAAGAACATCTTTAGTAGTACTGAAATCTTTTCGAGTTTATTCAATAATGAAGTTTGTTATAATACATGACACTATGCCTATAAAATAAACAACAACTTTTTAAATGAGGAATAATGTCAAGAACTGACAATCGATTAATGACATTTTTGAGACCTTCGGATAAAAATTTAGACGCAGCAAAGTTTTCGGAAAATATAAGTAGCCAGAATGTGTTGTAAGTTTAAATATAATTTGGGTCATGAAGAGAATTTAGAGATTTTGGCAATGTTAATGCTATGGTAGTGAGGACATCAAATGACAATAAATACTGGATTATTGGCCTTTCGAATGGCACAATTGTTGTATGAATACTTTCAGTTGATCTTAGGTTGGCTAACGCCTTTTAGCTATTATCCACTGAAGATAATGAGAAGCAGACAAATAATTTCTATACTTTGAACGCAGATGGCGAAACTCTCCCTTGTTCAGACTTACAGCCTGTCCCAGAACTCAATGGTCAAATTCAAGATAACTGTCACCTAATTTTAGCCGTGTGTATGTTCTCGAAATTCTCCTTATAAATTTATTTGTTGTATTAGTGTTCATGTAAATTGTTTCCTCTAATTTCTTAAAGCTAGTGTACGTTTTAAAAGAAAATTTTATGGTAAAACTTTGTTGAAATTTGTAGGAAAAGCTGGAGATTGATATTGAACGGATAAATCGCGTAAATATACCTTGAATGTGATATCTTTGCATTCGAACACATTATATTCAGTTTCAGTTTGGGAAGGACAGGAGGCTCGATGGCCTATGTTAGTCCTGGCAATGGTGGTCTCTCAGTTGATCCAACTTTCTTTTGAAAGAGTCGACGGATGGAGCCTCTACCACGTGCTGAGGTAATGAATTCCACTCGTTGATGATTCGATGAGGAAGTCGATAGTCAGCTGACAAGTAATTTGTTCTCGACTTGTGAACTTTTTTGGAGTGTCCTCGTAAATTCTCTGTTTTGGAAGACAAGAAAAATGAGGGCATGTTAAGTGCAAATTTATCACTAAGCAATTTGAAGACTGTAATCAAATCGCCTCTAGTCCTGCTATATGACAACGGGAAAAGGTTCAGCTTGGCCAGTCGAGCTTCATACAGAAGCTTCGCTATTCCGGGGATCAGCTTATTTGCAGTTCTCTGAACCTTTTCCAAAAGCTCACTCCTTTTTAAAGCGGGGGCTAGCCGCTTGTATGCAGTACTGAAGTTCAGGACGTACGAACACTGTATACAAAGTCAAAAACGTCTTGGCGTCGACGTGACTAAAAGCCCTACGTATTGACCATAAGGTTCCAAAACCTTTGGCGGCTATTGCAAGGCAGTGTGCAGTAGTCTTTAAGTCTTGGCTAACGATGACTCCTAAGTCTTTACGTTTCTGGACAACAGGTAGCTCAGTGTTATTCATCGTGTATGTACCTGTACCTTGATGACCGATATGCATCACAACACACTTGGAAATATTTATCGGCAACTGCCAGGTTTGAGACCATTCATATAACTTCTTCAGGTTATTTTGAAGTTCTAAGCTATCACTCTTACATCGTATCGTTCTCCATATCTTGACATCGTCAGCATATAGCAAGACCGATGATGATAGGAGACGAGGAAGGTCATTTACATACAAGAGGAATTGCACTGGCCCCAAAACTGTACCCTGGGGCACTCCACTAAGCACAGTTCTCAAGCCAGATAACTTTGAGTTCACCCTTACTCTTTGTTGACGCCCAACTAAGAAGTCTTTTATCCACATTAATAGGTTGCCTCCAAATCCTACATTTTTTAACTTATATAACAGTCGGTTGTGCGGAACTTTGTCAAAAGCTTTACTGAAATCAATGTAGGCTACGTCTACAGATAGCTTTTGGTCCTTAAGAGCGCACCAGCTTTCACGAGCTACTAATAAGTTAGTGAGACAAGAATAACCTATTCTGAAGCCGTGCTGCTTCTCCGAGAGGATCCGGTTTTTATCGAGACACTTAAACAGCTCCTTCCGAATAATGTTTTCTAAGATTTTAACAACCCCACTAGTTAGGCTAATGGGGCGGTAGTTCTCAGGTTTGTGCTTCGTACCTATTTTGAAGACAGGACTTACTATGGCGTTTTTCCAGTCTTTTGGTAAACGACCCTGCGTAACGGATAGGTTAAAGCATGTACTTAAAGAGCTTGCAACGAAGTTAGATAATTCCTTCAGTAGTCTAGGATGTAATTCATCGGGCCCCGTGGATATTAACAATTCTCTTTCAAAGTCACAACTTTGCGGTGTGTTTTAGTGTCATTTTTAAACTAAAAAGCATTTTTATTCCCATAGCTACCTTCAGATTAATTAAAATATATAGTTATTAGACGTATCCTCCTACATTTCGTTTTTAATCGCGTAGTCTTAATCTTATTGTCAAAAGGTACAGTAGACGTTTGGGTTTTAGTTGATTAATTTTAGGTAGAAAGGTCTATTTTGGCATAAGATAGATTGAAATCAAGTTTGAAATGGGTTCTGAGTTCATGATACCTCCACAATTGTAGCATAGGAAGTAAACTTCTTGGTTTATGTATGTGTATATGGAGACAAATGTCGTTGTGATTGATGTAACCGTGATTATCACAGATAACAAACTTAGCGTCATCTCAGCTTCTATAAAAAAACACTAAGTGGAACAAGTACCGTCTTCGTAACTTCAGCTAAGTTCAACTAATAAGTTTGGCCGGGATTATTTCTGTGGTTAAATACCAACCAATGTGACGGACTATCTACAGCTGTCACCATATGTAACGTCTTTAAAGATTATTAATTTATTATAACCTATCTTTTTATCACCCGAAATTTTGGTTACTTATTGAAGTATTACAAAGAAAAAAATGCGAAAACGTGGTATCACTGACTATAGCATTCCAAGTTGGTTGAAAAAACTACTAACGTATAGAATTTAGCAAGAAATCGCTCACCCGTGCACTTAAAGAAAACGTGAATGCATATTTATAAACAAAAGTGGCGGACTGAAGCCTGAAACAGATATTTCATGAGATTCCTAACTTTGCAGTTCCGATAGGTGAAATAATGTTTTAATTCACGGTTGGATATTTTTCAAATAGCACCTTAAATGCTGCTGATTTCCATATCAGCTTATTATGAATATGAAACATTAAAAATTGAGCTATATTAGGTACAAGTGACCATGTTAATGTTTGCTCAAGATACAACGTAGTCAATTCTGTTAAACACCGTTTTTCAGTACCATCTTAAGTCTGTTTTAGGAACAAAGCAGATATTTCGAAATTATTTTTGTAAATATCGGGTTATTAGTCAGTTTACTTGTGGACTGAGTTAGTAATTTCTTCTATTTGTCAGCTTATTCTAAACAATCTAATTAGATGGTGAGTAAACTTATCGCAGTCAGTCTAACTACATGCCAGATGCCTAACTTTTAGCAGCCTGACCTTTCACAGTATTAATTTAAATGTTTTATTTCATTAGTTTGTCCGAACGCTTAATAAACGACATCATTTTGCCACCAGTTGGGTTTCTGTGAACGGAAATCACTCAATAATACCTCATTTGGGTTTAGGTAATCTCTCATAGTCCCCTGTGTTGTATCAGTAACAACACCTTTGTAAACCAGTTGTTTAAATCTCTCTAATATAAACTCTTCGACTTTAAGTCACTATTTTATTATAAACATAAGTCGGACAATCAGCGATACAATATGCTGAAATATAAGTCAAATTAGGGTTGCAGTATGTCGCTTAGTCCCTCTACGAACTCTGTTTAGGTTCTAATCAACGCATTACAAGGATGATGTGTTGGTTACACAAGATAAGTTATTTTTAAGATGTTAGGACGAGATTTTACTCTGAATATTCTGTTTTTTTCTCATATACTGTCTCAAAAAGATGTTTCTGGTCATGCACGCCTATGGCACTACACAGGAGCAATGAATTCATCACGTCTCTTGGCAACAATCACGGAAGAAAGGATCAGTAACCCATCTGATGCTCCTGTAAGAACAAATGCAGAAAACGTGATGAATCAGATATTATCGTGTTCATGTTCATATGATGGTAAACGATTTGTAACTGGTGGGGTTGATTGTCATTTAAGAGTTTATGACATGAAATCTCGTAGACGCTTGCGGATGTGTAGTTCAAGGTAAACACAAATTTATCATATTTAAATAATTTAAAAAGTTTATGCTCTTAAGATTGTAATGTCCTACTGCTAGAGCCCAGCTAGCCAAAATAAGATTCCCTAATGTAATCGTTCATTTTGATATCATATGGACGACAGTTGCGTTGTATCGTAAATCGTGTGGATTCGAAGATATGAACCTGTGGGTGATGACTGACGAGTCTAACTGTATCATACGCGATACATTAAGTTAATGTCATGACCTCAAATTTTGGTCAGGTCTTGAATTCACGCACCAATATAACATTGGTTTTTTAACATATAAACTTATTCAAGTTAACACCTCATATTAGTCAATCCAGCATTAATGAGTTCATTTTATTTTACGTGATGAACAATCCTTAATTGACATGTTACAATTTTAAATGATGCACTCTGCCTTAAGCCTGGCCAATTTAATGGACTATTAATTTGGATATGTAATTGTATAACATGATGATAAATTACTGAAGAGGATATTAGAAGGGGTTTTGTGGGCTGATAGGTCCTGAGTTCAAATCTCGCGAGGTGGAGTAATGGATGCACTCTGCTTAGGAGCCCACAATAGGATGAAACGGCCGTCCAGTGCTTTCAGGTTTTCCATGATGGCCTAGCTTCAATTGACTCATGATCTCAACTAATGAAAAGTGGTAAGTCTTGCGGATTGAACGCTATATTCGTCTCTTAAGCTATTCTGTAACCCCCAAGCTAGAACTATACAGCGACCTGAACACGAGAGAGAAGACTCAAAGTATGCGAGAAGTAGTTTACTCCAAGGTTCATTTTAATACAGAAAACACAGGGTTTTTATAATATTTTAAATGTCCTCGGGTTGCTAGAAGATTCTGGAATGCTACTAAACATAATAGCAGTGTAGCAGCCAACCAATCAGAGCCTCTGAATGTGACGTTTCGCTTCCTTAATATTTCTGGCCGAAACTCCAAGTGAACGCTGACTGGATGAAACGCTTCTTAGTGTTTCCTGATGCTTGCTTGTCTTTTGCAAGCAAATTTCTGGATCACTCCAACAAAAGGGATATTCTTCATTTATATAATTGTGTTTTATTAAGATCAGTTCCAACTATCTTTTCTACGTTTTCCTAATGAAACTCTGATAAAATAATTGATAACTTAAAACTTCATCAATAAAATTCAATGGTTTTTATTTTGTAGAAATATTGAGTTGTATAAATAGAGGTGGAGAATCAAGAACTTAGTATAGGAATCTCAGTATATATTAGTATTTACTAATAAGATTATTTATGTCAATAAAATCAGCATTTAAAACTACAAACATGTCTTTTCAGATAAGCAGACTTTCTGTTATTACATTCAAAATGCATATTATCTTATCACCTATTCATAATAATCATAAAATGTAGTTTGTTTGATATATAGCTTATTTTGAAGAAAGATTATATGATGTCATTTGATAAATCCCTCACTTTTCAATAACTCCTGAATTTTACATGTGGATTATTTATAATTAATCTAGTGGTGATGCTCTATAACTAAGACTAAAACTGTTTAAAAGTTAGTGACAAATAGAGATGAAATGTGGAGTATTATTTTGGCATCTAATTCATTCAAAAGTTTCAGTCATAATTATATTATAATTATGTATGCCTTTTTAATTTTATTAACAGATTATATATACGTGTATGTAATGCATCTTTTATAGTCAGATGACACTTTATTAACCAATTGATTGAAGTAGAAAATCTCGGAACAACTAATTAGAGCAATAATTTGCCTAACTTTTCCTAATTAAACGAGTAAATCTTTGCTAATATTTATACGGTCTATATAATGGCTAATGTAACGTTTTTGGGACTTGTTCGTTACTTAACGTTTGAAAATACATGTAAATATTTAAGATCCTGCGAAAAATTATCTGGAGGGACATGGTCTACAAAATTCCTCAGACAAATGGTTTTTCTACTTATTATAAGCTGAAAATAAATTGTTGATCAATGATCACCTTGCTCATATTATTTTTCGTATAACTAATGCTGATTGTGTATCACGATCCTTGAATTTGCTTCGAAGCTAAAGTACTTTATAAAGTGTATGTTGTTAGTTCAACATATTCCTTTAAAACTGTGAGTTTAGGTATCTTCGAAAAGGTACTATCGCTTTCTAGATGAAGGGTTCAAGGTAGAGACAGTAAGTTAACTGATAAAGCCATAAAATTTCATCGTTTTGGATGATAGTAACACATGGCAAATATGTCTAGCCACTCTCATAACCATCTTGTCTGCCATAAGAGCACTTTGGCAGAAATATTGAGGCTCCTAATTGAAGATATTGAACAGGCCAACCAAGTTACTGACTATCAGTCTGAAATATATATGCAGGTGGAGAATTGCAGGTCGGGATCCGCAAACTACCAGTAATATATGGTTGAAGACGTTGGATTGCATGATTCAAAGCTTACCTCATCGGTACAATCACACTCATGATTTATCTTTTAACTTCTAAATTCTGAGTCACTCTATACTGTTTATTCTCTTATCTCATTAGTTATTTTATAAAAAAACGTTTTGTTCAACTTTCCTCACTTTTACCTCCCACCGTGATAATTTTCTCGCTTAATGTGCTGTTGTAAGGTGTAAAAACGTAAGTGATACCTATTCGTGTCAGATTCTACCTTGTCTACGATTGACTGAAGATATCTGACGTGGGAATGATCTCATCAAACGGTTTTTGAGTTTTGATAATCTCTTAGATAAATACATATAAAAAATACTATAATTATAAAACGGTCTATGGTTGTTATATATCAATTTTAAATGTATTCTTACAGTATATATGACAATCACTTACAAACCAATATACACTAAGTATGTTTATTTTTGTTTCACCTGTTAACAACATCAGCTGATATTTCTACTGTACTTATGAAAAAAAAAGAATGTGTTGTTTATAATCTTATTTTTCCATACAAGTAGTTGATCAAAATAAAGGCGAATTCCGGTTTCCAGTATTCAAGTAAATATTAAAAAAAGAAAAGTCTTCTTTAATTGTAAATAGTGAATCACATGCTAAAGTTTAGAACAATTTCACAATATAAATCAAATTCATTATTGAGTGATTCTTTTGTATATAATCTTGGAAACTACACTTTAATTATTTCGTGACATATTTGATAGTTACTTAAGTCTTGTAAAAAATTCATTTAACTAAAGAAAGAAATCATGTGATTTGTTCTTCTATAAAAGTTAGTACATACACTGATTACATCATTCCAAAACGTTATATTTAATGTTGTTCACTAAACTGACACTAGTATTCTTTTGGTATAAATGGTATTTTTTATGTTGGTTCAGTTCAAGGTTATATGAGATGGTTATATATTATATGTTGAATTCGCTTTTGTGTAATTTTCCCATAGTTGCTGTGATCTACTAATTACAATAAAAATGTAGTAATTTTCATGACTGCTACTAACACTACTATTTATTTACATAGTAGTAAACTTAATAAATTTGAAGCATACTATGTACAAAAACTATGAACCTAGCGTATTTTAAGTTTTGATAACTTTGACTTATCAGTACAAAGAAATAACAGCATCGGTTTTAAAAAGTGAAGGGGAATTTTAATCACAATTCTTATGCATCAAATAATTTATGTCACCCAACATCTCTATCATAAAGTTAAGATAAAGTGTTTAGGAGACAATAGATTATTGTAAATATTCTACCATCTAATTACTTAATCTAAGCATAATTATTATAATCGAAATTCTTTGATGAACTTATCTAGTACACACTAAGAATTATTCTTTCATTCGTTTATTTTAACATTGGTTCTTTATATTTTAAGTTCAAACTATTCATTACATGTGTATATGGCTTAAGCTACAGTTTGTTTAGTAAAATTTTCACTGTTAAAAAAGCGAGATTATCAGTAAAAGTGTAGAGACCAGTAAATTAACTTAATTTCACAAGGATATTTGTGGTTATGCGATCTCATTTTTTTTCAGTCTTGTTAATAAAACTGTGAAAAGCTAGAGTATTGTTAAAAGTTTATCTGTATTATACTCTGTCCATTGTGGAAAAAAGAGTTCTGTTTTTCGATGAATAGTCGATCATTTCGGTTAAAATAATTCAAACAATAGTTTGATCGATCACAATGAATGTATTTGTTTCCTTAAATAAACAGGATAATTTTAATAGCTGAGATTATGAGTCAATTGAAGCTAGACCACCATGGAAAACCTGGAGGCACTGGACGGCCGTTTTGTCCTATTGTGAGACTCCTCACCAGTGTGTATCCACAACCCCACCTCGCGAGATTCGAACCCAGGATAAGATAATATTGATAAGATTATTTCAAATACTTGCATCTGTGCAGAGAAAGTTACTCAAACTCAATTGATGAGCTGTTTCATTTGAAAGAAATTCTCATTGTAATTTATTTTTTGGATATTAAAATATATTAAAGCCGATCAGTTAAGCCATATCGTTTTTACAAATGTGATAGAATCAATTTGATTTAATTGATTAGCTATGTGCACTCTGGATAACTAGGGGCGTATATGAAATTAAACTGATAAAATCCGTAAACTTGCCCTGAATTGGTTCACACACATACTATATTACTGAAAGTAAGCTATATGGGACCAGTAAGCAAGTTCTCATTCATTCACAAATGCTTAGGTAGATTTTTGCAAGTTGAGTCATTCTTTAAGGAGTGTCTTTACTCAAAAACCTATTATTGAACAAACTGACTAAGTAGCATCCTGTTTTGATTTATTATCTGACCGGAAACTGGAGTCACTAAGAACGGGACAAATACCGTGTTTGTATGAATAAATTCAGAGTCGCTTGAATATAATTAAACCGATAAGTGAAGAATTCATAAATAATTTTTAACTAAGGGTTAAGAAAATAAATCAGCTTAATGAGTTAATAACCAACGGTAACTAAGATAATTACTAAATTTACTCGACCAACTTCAATGAAAATGAGAGCTGAAACAGGTTAAATATGAAAGTCTTTAGAGAGTGTCGGACCAAATCAATTCATCAAGGAGACATCTGTGAATCCTACCGTCAAAAATATCTACATCTTGGAACCGCTAACATTTGATCTTCTGAATAAACAAAGCTTTTCTCCCATTAAATCATAGTAATCGACGTACTTCCCTTCTTCTGAATATTAATAAATTGTGCTAACCTGAAATAAATTAGTTGTAACAGAAAAGATCACTCCTACGTTTATGCTTGTGGCGTACTATTTTTTTAATGTTTACTGTATTATTCTTGTAGCGTGTATTTTTATAGAAACTTTAATCTAGTTAGACAAAAAAAAGTATGGTCTATTGTATAATCAAAATCAACTTTCGTTAATAATACCTGTCTTATTATTGATATGGTTGAACTCAATTGGATAGTACTCACTTAATCTTACAAATTGGAAAGAAAGTGAATAATTGTGTTTGAACTCAGTGATTTAAAGGTATCCCTTTCATTACAACGTTCAGAGTTCAAATATTGGTGAGGTGTGAAATAGATTGTTGAAATGTTCAATAGTAAAAATACGTAGTAACTTCTCAATCCTGTTCCCTTCTAGATGGTTCTCCGGCTGATTATAATACGTGCTGTGAATCGTCCTTAAATAAAACGGTCTCCATAATGCTAATCATGTTATTAAAAGATGCAATGCCAAAAGAAGAACCATCGAATCGTGTTTATGATATCGAATGTAATGACTGTAGTGTTGGATATTTAGGGAGACATCACGACAGTTGACTGTGAGGGTGTAGGAATACAAACTTTACTGATAGCTGATTTCTAAATCATCAGAAAACTTGCAAGTAGATTAGTGTTATTATTGGATTTAGTGGAAACCGGACATATAATCGACTTGGAAGCGGTAAAAGTCCTTCAAAATATTCTCGATTCTTACAAAGACTGACGGGTGTAACCCAACATTTATGAGCAAACATGAAAAATTCAAATCGACAAGAGTGAATACAATTAGCTGGACCATAGCAACTATCATTTAATACATAGATTTAAATTTTATTTACTAATCATTTTTCATATCACGTTTTGTGGACCACAATGACTTAGATTCAACCAATGATTATGACTGGATACGCCTTGTACAGTCAGTTTGTTTAACATAACAATACAAGCATACATTTATTTATTTACCATCGTTTTATGAACGCTTTGATTATCAATTAGATTAACTAATTTTATTGAAATCGCAAGCCGACAACCATTGAAAATTTTGAAGCAATAGACATCCGTTTTGTCCATCCATGACCCTGAAGGCGAGAATCGAACTCAGGACATTCGATCTCGCTCACGAACGCCTAAACTCTAGACCATTTGGCCGGGATTCAGTGGTGTACAAGTCTAACTAATAACAGTTTATAATATGACACAACCATTATCCATTGTCTTTGGTGGGCAACTCCCTCATAACCGCTATGATTTATCTACCTAATTTTACCTCAGATTATAGCCTAGAGCCAAACATGATCAATGGATTTTTTTTACATCAGACTTGCATATACCTAAATGAACTTCTTTATCAACTACAATTTCACCATAGTTCCCACCAACAGACTCATATTCTCACTTCTACAAGTTCTAAATTCAACATTTTAACATATTGAGAAATCATTAGGCACACAGTGGTATTGTGAAACCTGTTTGTTAGTATGAAAAACGTTGGGTCAGATTGTCGAGCAAAGCGTTGAATTTATTTTTAACTTTGATCACTGAAATTTCTACAAATACAATTTCCTTTTCACTATCTATCTTAATAAGTTAATTTTTATATGATAAAACTTTTAGTTCTGCATGTTAGTGGGAAAGATTCTAATAAGTATTCTTAACGTTTATTAGTTATTATATTATGACAACGCATATTTTAATTAAGTTTTACTAAGGAAAAAATGGATGGACATGTAATGCGTATATGTGCTGTGAAATATCATCCACGTGGTGCTGTTTATGAAGATTATGTGCATATATTTATTACCGGTGGTTGGGATGATACAATACAAATATGGGATGATCGGTATTTACATTCTTTATGGTAATTATTTATAATTTATTTATAATTATTATCTGTAAGGTTTCTTTGTATACTAATATTGTGCAATCATCTTTTTGTTTAAGTTATTGTTTATTACTATTCGAAGATAAATGAATGATTCTAGAATATTCTAGATTATTTCATGTTTGGTTTTGTAAAGGCATAGAATAAATTGTTTTTATACATTAAATGAAATTACTGTCTATTTTAGTTAGAAGTGATTGATAAGAATATATATATCTGGAAGATATATACTGAATACTGCTGCTACTCATCAATTCGAATATGTACATACATAAATACTTTCGTCAAAATCATATATAAACCAGTGTTTAAATTGTGAAAAGATTTAATGAAGACCCTTTATGAACAAGGATTAGATATCTTGATAGAGCAATGAAAAGACGGAGTTGATCTGAAAAATGTGGTGTTTTAGCGATATACATTTTGAACAATCTAGTCACATATACTTTCAGATCAACTCCGTCTTCTCATTGCTCTATCAAAATTTATAAAAGGGATTAATTGCTTTAAATTAAAATTCTAATGAAAAATTTATATCATTCAAAAAGTAAACGTTTATTTCTTTAGTGAAATCCTATATACTAATGACTGGTTAGTCATTATGTACAATATGATAAGTGTTGATATAAGAAGGCCTCTATGGAAAGGCTCTGAGTATTATAAGCTTAGGTTTAATATGAGTATAAATTACTTTGAGTTTTATCATACTAGAGATGTCCAGAAGTAGCAGAAAGTGAGTGTTTATCATCAGCTCTTGTTCAATAAATGAAGTTTATCTACTTTTGTAACATTTTAGTTATATGTACATCACATTTGCTCTTCACTATGCGTATATTTTCACATACACATGTAAATTCATAGACATAACGAAACGACATATAATCTTCTAGATCCCCTTTGTTTATTTTTGACAACTCAGAGAACCTTTTTTAAATTTCAATGACCTTACCTCTTTGTGAATTCTTTTTCATTTTAAGATAAAATTCTTTGACTGATTATGGAATGGTAGGGTTATGTAAGCGCTTTGCTAATGCTAAAGACGTCGCAGCTCATAAAATTTCGAAGCTTAACTACTAGTATGTGAAGTTTAACGGGTATCCATTTTGTACAAAACATATTGATCTAATGAATTATATTTTATTAATAGTCTACATCTTTCATTACACTATTGGAATTTATCAGTTGAACTATCTGTCCAGATGAATTTATATTTCTGATTCCTTTTCATTCATAAATGCGTGATGCTTATCTAATATCGAAAGTTTTTAAGAACTCAAAACTTTATGGATTTAAAATAATCGTAATTTCCTTATTTTGGTACAATTCTGTTCCAACTTGTGCTTCAATAATATTGACTGATAATAAAGTTATCTGAAACAGTCTTCGTTGGCAGAATATTTCACTTGGAAAAATATGTTTATCAAATTTTGTAAGCATATTTGGGCCGGATGGGTTTAAAGAAGAGATCCCCATGTCACGAACCAAAAGAGCTCTAGGAACTAAGTTATGGGACACATTTAAATATATTTCAAATCTATTTTTACCACTCATCATTATAGCACTATTTCATATGAACGCAAAGCATATTACTAGTCATACTTCAATACAGAATACTACTACTTTGAATACTATCTCAATTGAGATTTAATCCAGATTTTACTTATCACCGTCACACAATGAGCACTTTTGTTAGATTAATCTCCCCTGAGAATTCTGTATAAAATTATCTGCAGAAATATAAAAAACTTATCAATTATATTCATTCTAGACGTGACCGTATTTCGTACATCACTATAAAACCACCTGGAAATAGGTTTGATTGTACTATATTTGTTAGTTGTCAGTGTATCATTAACAAGAAAGGAAAAATTAATTTTATTAACTCAATTAGAAAACACCTATTTTATTACTTCTGTTATATTTTTAGGATTTATTATGGTCCCCATATTTGTGGATCAGATGCACTTGAAATCGAATCAGAATCAAATCATATATTATCAAGTTCATGGCGCCGTGATAAATCAATTTTGCAAGTAAGAAATATATATATATATATATATATATATATATATATATATATATATATATATATATATATATATATATATATATATATAAACAATGATTGTCCAATTTTGTCCTGAATATTAGTAGTTGAGAGAAAAGTTAAACGTTATAATTAATAAACAGATACTTATATTTTGTCTAATATTTACTGTTTACTATTATTTAGATTAACGTCATAAAAAGGAATATGCCTACAACTATTTATATTTTTTCGTTCGAAATCCTACTCTTAATTAAACAGTATATATTATTTATCAACGTATAAAACACATAAAATAACATAGTTGTCTATCGGCAACTATCGTTTAAATAATGATTATTCATTTAATGAAAGCAATCTAGACCTACACCGTGTATTGGCTTCGTAAAACCGTATCTTAGAACATAAAGCTAGAGCAACTATTCTTGAAAGTAAAAACACTTCTTGCTAAATACAATATAAGTTATATCCTCGATAAAAATTCCTGTTAGAGCAGGTATCCCTTTTTAACAGTTTAATTGTGGCTAACCAGGACGTAAGTGTATCCTGGATCCTAATGCTAGTCATAATCCAACTCTGCATATGACACCTGTGTCCTAACGGCCATATTGATCCAGTCTGCACCGGATGCACATATGCCAAAAGAGATTTATCAGCTGCTGTCCTAAATATCAGTGGGAAGATTCAAACAACCAATACAAATGAATTAGTTATTCCTCATATTTTATTATATTTCATCACGAAGCATTTTTGAGTTTTTGTAAAATATTTCAAAGGTAGAATCCTTATAATATGTTCAATCAATAAAAGAAAATTGATTGAGATGTCTTAATAGTTGACTGATTTACGTTGTCTTCTGTGTTCTTTTACTATTCAACTCAGTTAAACCGCTTGTTCTATCTGAAGTTTAAAGATAAAATCGATTACTTACAAGAGACACTAACCACCAAATGTTGATATTCGTAACACTTCCGTTTTAGATGAAATTCAAGCAGGAGACAAATTTAAATAGCCTATTATTGTTAGATATTTTTAAGAACAGATTTCATAGTAAGCAGCCTAGTACAATTCAGTACTTTATTATACCATCTGAGGCTATCCCACATAGAGATGAATGACTGTGATACCTGATTATTGCTTCATGTGAACAGTTCTTTCCTGTAAATAGTATTCATTATCATAAACAACTCCCAATAGAAATATATAGTCAGCATATTGAACGATCAGTTTGTATATTTCAGTATGAATGAGAGCTTCATTAGTGCTGTATAAATGTTTCTTAACCATAAGTGTTCACCAGCCACAATAACAAATTTCAGCTGTTTTAACAACCGTCGTCTACTACTGAATTGAATGAAGAACTTAATTCATAAAACCACTAATTGTTATGAACATTTATAGCTTAGGCGATATAAGGCATTATTTTATCAACAAACTGTAGCAATACTGTTTTTAAAACGTCTACTACCATAAGAAAACATTATTGTACAGATTTACATAATAACGAAGTGTATTCAGATAAATTTTCATTCAAATTAAAAATATACAAAGTATTTTTGATTGTAATTCAAAGCCTTTCAAGATTACAGTCTGGCTGTTAAGAAAGATGTATATAAGTTAAAGAAATAAGTCAACAATTAACTGAACTTTATGGTAGAATCAAACAACATTGAGATGATAATGTAAAAAGAAACAATACTACTCAACATCCGTAGGAAACTTCTGTACAGACTATATATCTTTAGTAAATTACTGAATTAAATTCCGTTTGTTTACTTTCGTTCTAAACATAAATTGTTTTCACTTATCTACATAAGGTTTGGAAATTTAATGAAGAGCTTATGATTGAATTTTATAATTCAGCTGAACATCAAGGTGATGAATTGTCTATACCAACTGGAAAGGAAATCATAAATAAGCAAACTGGAGCTTTATACTACTGTAAACCAGTAGCTGAAATACCTCAAGATGCCTATGATGGGCCGAGTAAAGTAAGTAAATTGAATACATGAGGTCTAAATACCTAACAAACTTCTAGTCAAATAAAACCACCTCATTTTCTTTCTGTAAATTATAGAATATATCATTTTAAAAAACCAAGTGTTTATTTGTGTATAATAAAAGAAAATACCATTTTGAAAATGAAACTAGAAGATGGAGCTTGTCTCAAAAATGCGTGGTATTTTGGACAGTACATCTTAGCTAATTTATTTAGATACTTATTTATTGAAATCTTTTGTATGTAAACTAGGAAAAGGCAGGAAATAATCCAGGCTGATGGAACATACACCGTAATAGTTTCAGAGTTAGTTGACGTAGCAAGCTCAGATAACCCTCAGGAGTAGATGGGCATTCTTCTAATGCAAAGAATATAATTGAGACCGGTCAACTGGTACAAACCTTATCTATTAGAAAACGTGAGAATTAATTTTCTATTCAAAAACGCTTTATCCTTACTTTGAACTTCTCTCGGTAATAGCTAATATATGTTTAACGCCAGCAATCATGTGACAACTTGATATTCTCCTTATATTATGCCTTTTTTCTTATACTTTCAGTTGTCACTTCTGATTTAAGTGACCTTTTTTTGTTTGAGGCGAAATTCATTGATACATAAGTCTGTGATCAGATTATACAAAATGCGTTACGCTGACACATCACATACTTTTAACACAGACTCCATCTTATTATTGCACTTACGGAATTTATAAACAAGATCATTCATTGCACACTTCCTGAGTGATGCATTATTCGATGTTGCTACAAGTCACAGAATAAGAACTACTTATTTTATGTCATTTTTAATCAGAATTCACTTACAAAATCTAAGTGAAAACTGTTGATACCATTAGTTATGGCTGTCATAAGTTACGTTTTTAGTGTTCAATCAGTATGTTATATCCGGCACTTTCGAGCACTGTTTTTTTTCATTTGATGGATGAGTGCTGAATCTTAGAGTGTAATGTTCATTAAAAATTACAGTTCAAAGGTCTGCAGTTATCTGCGATAGTCGTTCATGAATATTTCAGAATAGTACTGACAAACATCTAGGATGATAAAGACAATATTTTAGAAGTTAGAACCTGAAATGAAATCTCTAGTCAAAACTTTACTGTATTATACATCATTCACTCGAAAAGTGGCCGTTACTGGATATAACACATTACTTAAACATTAGAAACATGACAGATAAAATCAGCCTTAATTATTAAATTGGTATTCTGTATTTTGTTTCTTGTAAATAATAAATAAGACATCATATGACTGAAAAAAAGCACATTTAAGCTACAACTTATAAGAAAACAAAATCGTAGTGTTTTTAATAATCATTACAACATGAATCAATTTGTTATGATATGCAAAAATAAACAACAGCCAGTCAATAACTGAATATATTATCCAATATGACAAAACAAATATATCTGTTTGTGAATATCACAACCAAAATTTGATTTAATAAACTTGAATAAATTAAATAATAAAATGATTATGCGAAGCGGTATCATCAATGCGCACTGCTAAGGAGTCCCACGTTGTTGTAAAAATGCCTACATTCTGAATTGCTAAACAGAACTTACAGCGAATAAAGAAAGAAACAACAGCAACCCATCAGATATAAGTAATGAGATCAAAAAACTAGATAGGATATTGCATTAAGTATAACTGCATAGACAGTTATTGAATAAATGAAAGCCTTATTTAGACTAGATTTAATAAACTTATTTATAAGATAATATAGTTGTTAATTGATTTAGGTTAATAGTAACTAGATGATCAGAGTTAAATTTCGTGTCTATCTAAAGTCAATCCACTATGTAAACTGTAAAATAAATTGTCTAATCGATTAGTATGTGGTGAATGCTCACTGCCGCAATTGTCAATATATGATTCATTTCCAAGTTGATTCAGATAAATAGATCAATATTATATATATATATATATATATATATATATATATATATATATATATATATATATATATATATATATATATATATATAATTTGTCCTTCTATTATGTATTTAGGGTTATGTAGCAAAATGGCTTGGGCCGTATTACATAGCATTCGGTGGGTCAGATGCAAATATTTTAAAACTTATCAGTCGTTTCACATTGAATGTGAGTTCTAAATTTATTTAATTTTCATTCAATTTTAATTTTATGAGTGCAATCTTCAAAATACCCGGTATTTTCATTGGGTCCTCATCAATATCTACTGGAAAGTCGTATGTGCAATCATCAGGCTGTTATCCTCTTAAAGAACCGGATCCGCTCATCTTATATAGTGTTGGTTGAGTCAGACCTTTTTAATTTAAGCTCATTGAGCACTCAAAACGAACGAACTAGGATAAATAATTTTCTGTTACCAGCACTTTTGAAAATCCTTTCCTGTAGACCATCAACTCAATAGTTCAATATTTGTAATACACTTCGAAATGACGATTTCATACTACATCCATTTTAATTGGCCAGTTCCAATGGTTTCTTTGCTCAGAACTACCACTCTAATAACAGATGGAAATGAGGGTTTCTGTCTTACTAAACTGGACTGTCTATATAATGAGGAAAGAGAAGCATTTTGAAGGGAATTTCAACTTGTGACCTTGCCATCGAAAAGAGTTTATAGATCATTTAATAGCTTTCTCTTACGTGTGTACGATATAAATTGTTATGAGGTAAATAAATTAGAAACTAACATTTTAGACCTCTCATCAATGAGACAGAAATTTTTATATACCAGATTTAGATTACTGGTGGTATCCTGTCTGAATAAAATACTTGAGTTATTCTTCCGCTGGACAAATCAGTATGAAATAATCAATTGCTTTTCATTGCAATTTCAGATCAGTTAACGATATATGTAAAATTATGTTATCAACAAGTGATAATTCTTTAGTCACAGACTGTCATCTTACTATATTACCGCGGATCAACGAGACATTAGGAACTTTTTCATATCAGTTGTATTTATTGTCGATTTCTGTGTTGTCACTATAAGTCTGTTCTTCGTTCAGTGTCAATCCAATTATATCAATAATGTTTACTAAATTGTACATTCACGTTATTTGATTAATTAAATACTCAGGTTGTTGGATCAGTAACGGAATTGACAAGTGGTATTTATTCATTGGCCTTTATTGAGCCAAAGACAAATGATAACAGTAACAAACGTATGGTGCAATTCGCATTTGCCTCTGGTACTCGTGTTTACATTGCACAATATGAACAAAAATAAATTTGCGGAGATTTTTTTTTAACCGACAACTATTTACTGAATTTTATACTCAAAAAATGGTTATTTTTATTCATCTTTTTAAAATAACTTTTGCATTACCATATGTTTTGCCGATTGAAATAATAATATCGTTTTTCTTCCAATTAACAGGATGTACGTAAATAAAAGACTCAAATATTTCCTTTTACTCAATTTATTGGACTTTTTGTCTATTTACCAAGCCATATTACTCACTTTTAAGAAAAGTTTTGAGAGCGTCTAGCAAAGAATTCTAGGACGCACAATTCATTCTATTTATTATTCGTTTGCCGGATATGCCCGCAGTGTTGATATCCTCATCAGAATTTGAACTAATTACCTCTCACAACCGAATTCTTAGTAATAAAATTCAAGTTGGTCCCTTGTGCACTACCAGTGGCTGACCAAACTCATTACCCCAGTGGATTTTAGTGGCCCTGAATCTAACCCTAATTAGATTGTATGTTTAATTGTTATTGAGATATACATATCGCCTATCCTCGTATGTAATTATCGACTTAATCTGCGTTAGTGAATAACGGAATTAAATAAGCCAAATACGAGAATAGATTTCGAATGCGCATATTTTGTACAATCGTTGATCGGAAAAGATGATCAGAAAAACGTAATGAAGGGAGCGAAGAAGAGAGAGCGAAACGAGAGGGCGCGCAGTGAAGACGCGTCAGCCAATTCAATTTAATTAAGCGTGAATCAATATTCATAGTCACACAAAAACAAGTTACAGACATGTGATGAATAGGATAAGAAGTGCACACACATACGCTTGTATAAAAACAGTCATGATTGATAAGTAAATAATTAACACGGTCAAAACGTGACTCAAGAAGAATGATGAATAAACTTGCCTGTCCAAAAGCTAGAATAACATATATGGGTTTAACATAGTAACCGACACTACAGAATGATACTTTGGCATGTGATGCAGATAGCAGCAGGTCCTGGTGGGAATATCAACACTGAAGTGCATGTATATCTAGCTGACGAGTACCAATTGGGACAACGTGCGTGTCATCTATTAGCTGCTATGAAAGCTTAGCTTAAAGATGCGTGTGACAAAGACACTCTCTAGGCAATCCACATGAGATATACACACACCAAAGGAGACTGATCGATTGCAGCCCAAAACATCAACAATGGAAAGGTTCAAACCTTTACAAGTGAAACTACTTAAATCACTGATATACAGGGAATTAATTGTTATGCAAGTAGAATTCCTAATATTGTAAACTGAAGGAGATGAGTAGAGTGGCCATTAATCATAGGTGATAGGTCTGATGCAGGCAGTTCATCACTCACTCATTATATGATCTCAAATAAAAACATGTGGTCGTTTTGAGAAAAATATCGCAAACGGAACTACACGACTAAGCAAACTTCACCAGAATTTAACTATAGGTTTACTGGATGAACTGAAACAATAGAAGCTAACCATTTCCCTATTTCGAAGTCAAGCTCAAAAGTAATTTATCTCATCAAACCTACATTTTAACGAAACATAATGTACTAAACTTTTATATGGTTAAATGATATGAAAATGCTGAGAACTGATGTAGCTGTTGAAGAATCGTTCGGACAATGCTCTGAGCCTATCGGTTTCCGGATTTCTGTTTACATCTTGGAAATCAGATCATGGTGTTTTAGTGAAGATTAATGCTGAGATGTCGTAAGCCAGTTGGTAATGTATACTTTTTCATCGTAATTCAAGCACTTCAAATTAGCTGAAAGGCTTTGAGTTTTTTGAAACCTTAATCTATGAGAAACTTATTTGGGTGAAGAAAAATAGTTTTACAGCAAGCAATTACTACTTGCTTTCAAATCACTAACAATAGAATAATAAAAGCTCTTGATGACCTCACATATGATGGTAGATACAAACCAATATCTATCACCAACCTTCTTCAAAATTGTCCACATTGAATGATGGTACTATCTATGTGAATAACATTGATGTTGAAGTGCTTATTTAACCATACAGACAAATTTTCAAAGTAATTTTATTCCTAATCAGTTTGTGATTTCATGAACAGATGTATATATGACAACACCAATATTCATATAAACAATCCTTAGTCACTAATGTCTCTTCATTTAGTACAGATTCAAGGACAAGCTAGGTAAGATTACAATAATTGATTGATTTGTTCCTTCTCTCAGTGGTTTACTCATGCAACTGTTAAAGATTTGCAAGGAATGTAGAGTTTACTGGTGTAAACAGTACTGAAAAGTAAGATTACTTATCTATGGTACTAATAATACTTGAACTTGGTCTGAGTAAGTTAACGAACCACTCTTGACGAGTGACTGCAGTATAAGTATATGTGGTAAAAACCTTACACCAAAGACCATATACAAGAAGATACACAGCCTTAATTTTGTAATTTGTGTTATGAATTATTCATTTACTTTTAACTATCTGACAGCCAACTGTACCTAGACAACTGACTGTTGTCTTGATAACTTTTGAATAGAAATCCAGGTGACGGTAAGTGTAAAACTTCAGATCTTGTAACAGTACAAGTAACAAACATGCACAACTTAATGATAACGTGTTCGATTATCACCATTATAAACGATTTATGCTTTTCAAACGATAGAATTACAAATGTTTTGAATATTGCTTAGTGGTTAGCAATTGATGGCAACTTCACGTTGGCATAAATCAGTATACACTTTGGTTTTTCACACTGCATAGTTACCTTAATGTCAACTGATGTTTTAATTTAGAATATTTGAGTATTAATATAAACACATTTCGTGATTATATTAAGAGTGAAAAGTATTGTAGTCCTATGTGGAGTTTTTGTGGGTATTTGGCAAGAAACAATGGACCTTGATTTCGTCGTAGTTGACATTCCTCAACGAGGAATAACTGAGGTCGTGAGAGCTGATGTTCCCCATGAGATTCGGACCCGAGTAACACAACCTTACAGTTTAAGATATCACCGCTGAGGTGTTCGAGCAGCAATTGACCTGTTATGATTCATAATGTACCTAGAAAAACTTTCATTTTCTAAACTTTCACCACTAGAACACGTTAAACATGCTTCGATTGTTTGAGCAGTGATTTATCTACATTAAAATGTATTTATATTAATTCTTATGGCGCAAACTGGTTCTATATTGTGTTATGTTGTGTACATACACATATTGAACAGGTAACTTTCAAATCAACTATTTACCTTAACATTCAAATCGATTTAAACCGTATGACAGACTAACCCGATGAATCATTTATGCTAATCATAAAAGTTGTACAATCATTCATCTTAATGATAATAAAACATTTATTAGTTAGGTTCTTTGTGACTAATTACACATAAAAGCTCTTTGAATTACTGTAGATAAAGAGACTACAGTCAGAAACGGTCTTTGATATTCTATAATAGTATAAACAGTTAAGTTACAAGCAGTAGTCAGTTTTACTAAAAATTATTATCAGAATGGTTAAATTACTGATTCACTAAACAGTATATGTCTTTATGTGTTGTACAATCGAGCGATTGATTAGTGGTTGAGGTCTTCAAATTACAGCCACCAAGTGGCAGGGTTGAACCCCGCTCCGCTTAATTCGGTCTGGGAAACCAGGTAGTACTACTAGCCTTCATTCTTAGGATATGGTTCGAGTCCAAGTTCACAGATCTATACCTAGCAAATTAGTTGATAATAATGCGCTGAAACATAAACAGAGAAACGAACATAAATTGCATCCTTAGATTACTGGATATGAATCGATTACCACGGAAGATGACCAAAAGTACAAGATAGGCGCTTCTGTGCAAAATTCAGGTTCAGACACTTATCTCTTCGTTGGACTCATCAAATATTGTCTAGGTTTTACAGAGGACTATTCATTCCACAGGTAAAATCGATGTAAATCATTTACTAAGCACATGCTTGTATATATATCGAACTATATACACCTTTTGCATTGAGGATAGTGACATGTTTTATTTTCTACCCAGAATTCGCCATCCACAAGAACATGAACTGTTGGTCAACTTTCAGTTCAAATTACTTAAATAACTAAGAATCAAAAAATGACAAATCTATTAATAATTAGTGTTACGGCATGGCGTATAATTAATCTGTAATAATCGAGGTTGTAGATGTAATCTGCGGGTTCGACACAGATAGTGGTGTGTCCATGTTCAAATTACCGCTGGTTTTATCAAAACACTTTGTAACTAACTGGTAACTGAGAAAGAACTGGTGTATGTCACATATTATGAGAACTACCATGTACAAGCTATGTGAGATGGGTTCTTTTAGATGAAACTGTTATATAAAGGGATATTGTTATCAACAAGATCTTGTCGCGGTTTAATCATAATGTAAAGCAGACTAATTATACTGTCATATTTTAAATGAACGAACATAACACTAAACACAACTTTTCAGCTAAGAAATTGAAAAGAAATTATGTATTTAGATCATAATCACCCATTATGTTTTCTAAGGTATACAGAACATCTAAAGTTACGTATACTAGAAAGATAAACTAGTCTGCAAACAAGTGAACTATTTGAATTTTCTTAAACACAGAATGCGCCTTATTATTTAGACTGTTCATGCTAGTTGGAACAGAATGAAGGATAATGTCCTTCCACGCTGATGTTTATCCTGTATCATTGGTTGTCTGTTTATAAACAGCACATATAGGTCAAAAGGAAAAAGAAACTCATGTATACAATCCTATCATATAAGGCTGCGCAGATATCAACAATGGTGAAGAAAATAATGTTCCCATCTAAGGTGATTTTATGAATTTTATAATTAACATGAAGTTCCAATGGGAGAAGGAGACACAGTAAAGTGCTTGTTTGCAAAAACTCTCCTGTTAAAAAATTGTTTAATACTCTGTACTCCTACTACGTCTGTTAATATTTGTTATCCCATGAGGGTGAAATATATAATAATTCCATTGCTTACTTTTTAAATCAAAACACCATATTATTATTAAACATATGCATGAAATCAGCATAAAGTGGCAGAGATATGAAATCAATCTAAGAGTTGCATAAATTACAAAATGATTAACAGAAGAAAAATATAAAGACTTATCACAACCACCATATCCAAGCGATTATTTAGAATTAATTACCCGAAATACAGTCAGTATACAAGTGTATACACATGCATTATCTGGGTATGTGTGTGCGTGTTAGGTGTACACAAATGATGAGAAATTAACATATATGTTTAACTTAAAATTTCAATGGAACAATAAATAAGTGTGGAATATTGATTGTGTAATAAAGAGAGGGAAAATAATTCCAAAACCAAGGATATTTCTTTTCTAGAAATAAAAAAATTGTTAACAGAGCCTATATGCGCATACATCAATTGATACCGTTTGTATAAGACAAATATTTCTCCCAGTTCTCTAACACCTATTGTCCAATGTATACAAAAGATGATGAAAAAGAAGTTAAGTTTATTTCAAATATAAATATATGTGTGATTTTTAAAGATAATGTTATATTTAATTATTCAATGTTTAATTTGAGGGGGACAAGAAATAATTGTTATCAAAATCTGTTATCTTTTCATAGTTTACATTACGGACTGATTTTAGCTAATTAAACAATAAAAACAAGGAAGCACTGGACAGTTGTTTTTTCCTAGTATAGGACTTCTCATCAGTGTGTATCTGCGACTGCATCACGGAAAAAAACGAGAAAGTTCTGAATTCCCTTCGAATACCTAACCTTTAGACCGCTGACCACCAGTTTACATATCTAGCTTCGGCTAATTCACAATATTGCGCAACCGTGTTTGAGTGACAGTAATAGGAATTCGCCTCACACTCGACATGTTTGACCTTCACTAGTTATAGCTTCTCAGTGGAACTCCGTGAATTATCCTTTACAATTAGTCACTAGCGAGAACATGATTATTGCTGGTATAGTTTATATCGTGGAATAAGTGATCTTAGTCGAACAACCATGAAAATAACTTTTAATTGTTTTTCAGTTGCTATCAGTTCAATTTTCTCAATGAAAATGGTAATAAGTATTGGATTAACTTTTAACTAATTATAGTTTGAAAATAATGTCCATCAAAACAAGTTAACTGAAACAATAACATTGAAAACAAAGTGGTTATGAAAATAGTAACCTATGTTTGTGTTTTAATCATAGGAAACAATATTCACTTACTTTTAATTGAATTTGCAATAACAATTCTAAATATTCTGTAGTGGCTTGTTTGAAATAAGCAAAACGATTCAAGTCGAAATTTTGAAATTCTCTTTTAATATTTATAGATATATTATTAAACTTATGCTGAGCTTGATCTACACGATTTTCAAGCTTTAAAAGAAATGAAGAAAAAAGAATACAACTATGTAACTATGTGTAATGTACAAAATGAAATATACAAAAAATGAGAACTAGTAATCATAACAAAAACCTTGATTTATATAATAAAAACAATCGTGCATAGATAAATGGTGCGAAATATTCTCAATCATCTAACAATAAAAAATACTCGGAGAAAATTCACAAGGTGGGATATTTGTTTGGAGAGTAAGTGAAGAAAGAGCACTATATGTAAAGCAAATAGTGTAGAGACTATATCCTAAAATTGCACCAAAGATTTTGATTAACATCAGAAAAACGAGGACAATTAATACTCGTGGCATCGGTTCATGAAGTCATTGACTGTAGGACTAAGCCATTGTAGGTAGATGCAGACTACCTTTTGAGGTCACCGAGTGATTATTTTAACGAGTACTTGAGACGGTGAATAATATGGCTTAGAGTTGATAGCACTAGTGCTAGTGTATTCACTCTTTGTCTCCTTTTAGATCTTGAGTATCAAAATTATCTTAATTTTTTATCTTATGAAGTCGTTCCTTCGTCCAGAATCACACTGTCGATTCTCATGCCTCCCACTACCACTGACACTTAATAATTCAACTGCTCTGACATTTACTTATCTCACTTTGTTAATTCAGTGTGACAACTTAGATCGATGCATGTATATGCCAGGTTCTATGTTACGTATGACTGATCGAATACTTGATTAGTGAAATTGTACGAGTTAACCAGTAATGTTGATAAGTTGCTGTGAAAGTACATAGATCAATAAAGCTGATGGTGAAATGTTGAATATCCTATAGAGTATCACATGCTAACTTTTAATTACTATTTCCAGAAATATGATTCCCATCCAGCACATAGCTTTAAATATTAGTTTTTAAGTTGAAGGTTTGGTTTTAAATAGCGACTAATTTGTAACAGTAACTTTAAGATCAAGTGTAACCTAGGGGGAAAACAAAAACGTAGTATCCACCAGTACTTATCGACATTTTTTAATGAATTCTTATTTCAAATGGAATACAACGAAAAGTTTCATTAAAATTTTGAATCCTAATGATGATTAGGTAGGTTTAGATCATTTTAATCCTCTTTGGATAAATCAGTGAAAACATGTCGTTTGAGTAATATTTGATGTTTATGTCCTATAAGTTGAATATACTATAAAATAAGTTATTAATATACGCAGTAATTAATTAATAATACAGTCATCTAATATGGAGTGCCAATCAGAAGTAGCCTAATGAAAAAGTCAATCGATAGCATTCAGATTTGACATAAAAATCAAGTACATTTCATTGGAGTCAAAATGGGTCAATTTCCTACAGATAGACTGGTATATATATATGGGTGTGTTTGTGTATTTTATTCGATAGTCCAGTACACTCTCCAGCTTACTCTTGTATTCTCGTCCAAATAGTCAGTCGTGTGTGACGTGAAATCAGTCGTCTAAATTGATGTGAACTGCGATCAAGTAAAGGCTGTTCACAAAAAAACCCAGTTATTGACGTAAATTATCTAATAAATGGAAATAATAAGAAATAAAAACATGTCGTTTTGTTAACCGATATGATACATATGTACATAACTTTTGACACAAAAAGAAACTGCTGTTTGAAGAGATTACGAGACGACCTGAAATCTGTGAACGGAACGAAGGATTAGCAACACAACGACAAGACAAGCTAAACTACTCCAATGTGTCCCAGCCCTGATAACTATAGGGAGAAGACCGGTATCAGCCAGGGGAAAAGTGTATTCCGCAAGCATCCAGAAGCAGGAACAGACAAGCACACAACTCAAGCGTATATGTACAGCATAAAAAAGGTCCTTAGGAAACGTCACAAAATAGCGTATTAAAAGAGACGAACCGATCAAATTTAAAGTCCTGTCAAGTTGGAAATACAATCTGGAGATAAAAATGGGTACTTTTGGTGCGAAGACGAGAAATTCAAATTCCCGAAATAAAATTACAAAAATAAGACGTTTGTCAAGAAATTGCTGGGGATCTGGCATCCCCAACATAATAATAATTATTATGGTAACATATTAATAAAATTCATCATCAATCATTAGATCAGAGACAAGTTGATCCAAAAATAAATTCAAACTGATGGGAGTATATTTGTTTTTGTTAGTATTAAATGAAAATAATCAGTATAAAAAAAGGAATAAATTATCTTACATCTTCCAACTCCATTGTTATTGTGGCCATCTTTTTATTATCATTTCTAGGTGCCATTTCCATTCGAATTTTCTGTTCACGCTTTGAACGAAGATTAGCTTCAGCGGTTTTCCATGTACGATATATTCGTACACGTTCACTTAAAACATCCTAAATTATATACATTTAACTTGGTATTATGAAATTTTTTTCCAAAATAATGAAGCAATATTAATAAGATTTTTCGTTTAGAAATAACAAGACAAACAGTTAAATTAAAACTATCTATTTGAATATTGATTAGAGGATTATTTTTCATTTTAAAGTTTTATGGCTACCATGTGATTAATCAATAAGGGGTCTCATATTCTTAAATTTGTCGTAATTGCAAAATAGTGTAACGTTTAATAATCCCATGATTCTTTAAATATTACAGCCCAATTTAATTCTAAATATCTATCTCAACACATTCTGCTTGAAATTCAAACATTCGGTAGTAGACTATGAGTAGTCCTATAAAAAGAGTGAACAGATGGTAATTTTAGGGTATACTTTAGTTTATGTGCTACACTACACTTCAGATGTCCTGACCAAAGACTTAGAAAACAACTTAGACTTGATAAATAATGAAATAATTTAAAGCAATAAAGGAAAAATAAATACCTGGTTGCATTGATAGTAGTAAAGCTCTACCACAGTCTGATACATATAAACTAGAGAGTGCAAACCTTTTGTAAACAAAAGCGGGACTGAAAAACACTTTGTCTGGATAGTTTAACAAAACCCTAAGTTTTCCAGAAACAGTCCGTTTTGAGTACACCATGAAAGATAAATTTTAAGGCAACAGTTTTGATAAATGTTTTGGAAGAACTTCATAAAAACATGGTGTTATAATCTCTTTCTTACGGTTATGACCCAGCTATTCCTATTGCTTAGTATTCTCGAGCACCGATTCACTCGACAAGCCCCAAATCAAAACATGGTTGAACAGGAAAGAGATTATATTCCAAATAACAAGGTTAGATGGAAGTAAGAAGCACAATAGGGAAAACGTTAGTATATTTATAGTTTTTACTTGAGAAGATTCTAGAGTATTCTCCAACTATCGACTAGTGCTGATCGGATAAGAATTACCCAATCAGCGTGCACCAAAGCAATCGTGCATTGAGCATGCTTTAATCCAGTCTATGTCCCGCTAACACATGGTTTACGGTTAAACAGTATGACTGCATCACCGTTTAAATAAATCGTTAAGTCAACATCTACTTTCTAAGTAAATTTAGAGAAACAATAACTATTACAGTTTTTGTGACCTCCCAATGAGTAGAAATTTGTACTTTTGACGTTTCGTCATAATAATAAATAAATACTAGGACGAAACAGCCGTCCAGTGCTTACAGATTTTCAATTGGGGCCTGACATCGATCGATTCACGATCTCAATCAAAACTCAACAATCTCCATAACCCTATACTGACAAATCGATTCGCTCTGAAGAAGTTACGTACTTTGAGTCAGGAGACGTTAGAAATACAAATTCTTACTCATTGGGACATCACAAAAAAATTTATTATTAACTTTCCACCCAACGCTCAATTTATTTAAAACTATCAGGAAAACTTACCTTGCAAGCCTGAACCATGCCTAGTAATTCTCGAGAATACTCCACTAAATGGCACGTATGCGCTTCTGCTTGTAAAGCGTGTAAATCAGCGACATGTCCTTCTGTTTCTGCCAGATGATGAAGTGCTTGAGCTAGACCAGTATTTTCTTCTACATTAGCCAGGAGAAGAACTGAACGAGACAAGCCAGCTTCGGCATTTGCTAGGTCTGAAGTAAGTTGAAATAACTGTTTCTTAACTGAGAGCAATTTAAAGTTATGGTGATGCAACTGAGAAATAATTCCATGTGTTTCGCTTTGAGATGCAGTTAACATATGGTGAGGTGTTTGAATTTATGACTCAATGACGCAAAGATATGTGCTTTGAGAACTGAGTTTCATTTCTAAAAGTATCGTATTTTTTTAATATCAATGTTTGTTTGTTTGTTACTATTATAACTTGTGGCCTGTGTGCCCTGTTAATGTATACGTAATGATACAGCCAATTAGACAGTAGTGACTTATCGATCGGACCAATGACGCGTAAAACACGTACGAGCAGTCTAGAGTACTTACCGGTCCTGCTTCCAGCCTAGCCCAGCCAGTTAAGTTCAGAACACCAATCTCATCCTCTGAAATATAAGCCATTTATTTCAAACATACGGGGTTTATTTACCAATCAAACAGACCACATCGTATCAATAAAATAGGAAACAACATTTACGCAAGATTTGGCCAAATGTGGCTGTGAATGTTGGAAGTAGTAATTAATGGACAGGGCATAATTCAAGAATAGTAAACAATATAATAATAGTTCATAGGTCAAAATAAGGCTCAAATAAGAGGGATATGAATATGGATAGATTAGTCATTTAAAAATTATACGATAAAAGTATACGCATAGTATTGGTCCATAAATGGATCCCAAAAGTTACCATTCATTATGCTTATCAGGGCATAACAGTTACAAACAACAGCAATTCAACGCAGGTGACAATATAGACCAAATAACACATGGTTTGAGTTTGACCACCATATATCTATCCATTTTATCATTCCGGTAACAGCAAATTTAAATGCACGAAACAAATAATGGTTTAACTCAACAACACTAAACTGAATACGTGGAGCCAGTAAAAATCTATGCCAAATTCTTTTACAGTTCACTATTTCAGTAAATTAAAATTGGCGATATGTTTTGATCTTCTACTGTGGTCGTAATTACAAGTGAGAGAAGACCATGGTTTGGTGTGTTTACACATGGAAAAGCCAAGTTAGTCTCCAAGGCTGAAAAAACTTATTGATTTATCAACAATACTTTTCTAAAACACCACGCCAAATCTTGGTGTTTCCCATTCAGTGGATTCACTACATCTGATTAATGTTTTAGCGATAAATCTAACAGGATGACGAAAGTTGCTTCAAATAACAAGGTCCTTAGTTAAAAAGGTTGGTCAAAGCATCCTCATCAACAAACTATTAAGACTTTATCCAGGCACCACAATATTACGTTGGTGTCTGAAATGGCAGACTGCAAGATGTCAAGTGGAATTTTATAGTCCGCTAGTTGGTAATATCCAAAGATAAAGTAGTCAACACATTCAACTACGCAACTCTATCTTTAAACTTTATGCTAAGAGAAGCTATTTATGAAGTGCCACCTATTTAACAGATGCTACATGTATAAAGAGTTTTATTGAGTCTTCGTTCAATATTTTTCAAAACAAACAGTAGTTTGTTAACATTTGTCTCTCTATCCAAGAAGTCTATTTTGTTTGGATAATAATTTAAGACATTCTGGTACGTAACCACTTTCTGACCAGTTGTACGTAAATAACATATATTCCCATTTATCCATTTACATTATCTGTACTAAGTTTAAAACACGTGGGTCCCTTCCATATTTATTATCTTTAGTCTAGATCATGCCCTATGGAGCTTATGACTTCTGGAATTAAGCAAATGAAGCTGAGAACCAGACGGTTATCACTGGATAATTCCTCTGGTTTCTCGCAAGTCTAAAGGTGCTACTTCTAGCTAACATATCGTAGTACATATCTCAGTAGTAGTTCAGTTAATACCTCTGAACTACCATACATAAAAGTAGCTAAAATTAAACTGTGAGGATTTGATATCCATTCTCAATCCAACTTTTGTATCAACTTACCGATATTGATCAACACTATTCAAACTTTCACATCAAAATGTTTAATTCCTTGGAAAAAACAAACAACAACCATCCGTAAGCAAAAGGACAACACATCTAACCAACAAAATCAATAAACTAAGATTCATGTTTGAAACAATCTCATATCAGTATACGACAGTCGGAAAATTCACTGACTATTCAGTATACACGTAATATCATTTGCATATTACATGTTTTATAGATATTAAATCACAATCATTAGGATTATAAAAAGAAAAACCCAAATAAATCAAATGCCTACCATTGTCTCCTGATACTAAATTAAGAAGCGAGGAGTGAAGACGTTTAAGTTGCTTTTCCCAACTATCTAATTCATCTGCTTTCTGATAGAAGAACTAGAAGAGTAAAGAGAAATATAATTAAATGGATATATAATATAATGCAAAAAAGGTGCATTTACTACTGGGCTGAACTGTAAACATCACAAAAGAGGAATGTAGATGATGTAGGTAGTGTTACATCTATGTTGATAGTTGGTAGTTCAAGCCTGTGCTTCCGTTGTGCTGTGCGGTGTCCAGTATGGTAATATTCAAGCTTTTTGTGCACGAGCCCAACCGGTCACTCGAGTGAGAAGGAAGCTTTTATTAGCTAACCGAATTGAGAGATATCTGTACGCTTATTCACTCATATATATTTTTGCTTCTTCGAAATTTAATTTGCATGTTCAACCAACCGAGTGTCTCTTTCTTGAAAAAAACAAATGTTGACTAATAGTATGCGCTTGCCATTTGGTGGATGTTTGTTTGATCCACTATATCACTGTATGTTGGAAATATCTCATTTTTAGCTGTAATACTTTAAATGGCGAAAACCAGAAGATACAGCTCTAGAACTTCTTCACATAGAATCATACAATCTGTTAACCCCAAGCAACACGAGTTTCGAGACAAGCATTCATGCTTGACCAACTTATTGCGAGAGAGGATTGAACAGCAACCCTAGATAATGACCTGTTTGTCGATACGATATTCATAGACTTTAACAAAGCATTTGACAAGGTTTTTCACCTAGGTCTAAAGCAGAGGCTGTCGAGCTTTGGAATAACAGGTGCTGTACAGGAACGAATAAGAAACTTTTTTATGTGGCCGAAGATAGAGGTTGGGGGTTAATGGGACACTATCTGAATGGAAGCTGGTCAAAAGTGGTATACCCCAAGGTACCATCTTAGGTCCCCTACTTTCTCTTCTCTAAGTCAATCAATTACCGCTATTGCTTAGGTCGTCGATATTGTTGTTTGCGGATGATGTAAAAATCTGGAGGATAGTAAGGAGTACGGCTGATCATTTGTTTTCCAAACTGAACTAAACGAATTAGTTAGATGGTCGCAATGTTGGGGCTTAGAAATTAGTTCTAGAAAGTGTTCGCATGCACATCGGACACGGTAACAGTTACCAGCATACTAATGACGGTACATATCTTTCATGCGTGCAGGAACATAACGACCTAGGAGTAATAGTAAGTCACGACTTGAAAACAACTACGAATTGAGAAGCTGCAACTGAAATTAACAATATCTACTGGATCCTTCTACTTATACAACCTATTATAAAAAATATTTTTGATGTGAATCAATAACTTACGTAATTTTAATGCTGTAGATTTAACACTTAAATAGAGTACTATAGGGCTCAGTTTTATGCTTTAGCGAATACTTGTTACCAAAAATAACCGTGGATTATGCCACCTTTAAAATTAGAAAAAGCTAACTTTACACGTGCTTGTCAAGCGCATCTCTTCTTTATTAAGACACTACAATACTCAGTGGCTCACAACGATACAGAAACATCGTAACAAGATTAGTTAGACAGATTTAATGATTCCAGTTAAAAACAGCAGAACAATTTAAATACACGCAATCCATAAAGCAGATTTTATCTTTGGTCTCGATTTAGTTTGTAGCTAGAAAAAACCCGGCATCCTAATTAGTCGTATTGAATCAACACTTCAAATTTACCCAGCCACTGTCCTTCTCTCGGTCCCAAGAGATTTTAAATAGCTTTGAATCATTCGTCATATCAGTAAAAAATACAGAGTATACAAGACCAAACAATACGTTTAAAACCTACCATTAGTGCATTAGCTACATGTTAAACTGTTTTACCTAAGGTCTCTGGCATTATTTATTGGGATTTTTAAAGTAATCATTATTTTAAGCACGGAATATAACATTAACCCTAGAAAATACGAAGGTATAGTACGTGTATGTTTTTGAATAATTCATACTCGTTTCACCAGGCGCAGATAATCACGTATACAAAATCTATACTTTTTGAGAATTAATTCATTCACTATTTCCCTAAGACCAATCATTTACATATACGATGTTAGTAAAAGGCAGCTCTATAGTATTATGGCCTTTTAAGTTGAAAACATTTTATCCATAGAATTCACTCTTATGAAACTATGTAGTTGAGAAACAGTTTAGACGAAAGAAGCAATTATTTTTGTGATCAATAATACATCATTCGACTAACATTGCACCGATTAAAAAAATAAGGACTATACTGGGAGACCGTGAAATATAATCACATATTAGGAAAACAGATCGAAATTGATTTGCACAGCGAAATAATTTATAACCATAAACTGATTAAAAATTTATCAAAACAACAGTAAAGCATTTGATTTTTCAAGCACATACATGCAACACAATGGATTTATATGTAAATACAATTAAGACACTAGATATGGTCGGCAAGCTATAGGTGAAAAAATGATTAAGCATTGAATATAAGACTTATTTATCTGATCTCAGTTATAAAACATTACTAAATTTTAGTGCTTAAGTTACAGGCCTCATAACTAATTAAATCATACTTTGATAGACCGAGAGTTTTGATTCCAAACTCATATAAGGATGGAAACCTCTAAACATTATAGTCGTTTAAAAGCAATTTACCTAATTTTAAAATCCTTCAGTGATTGGCCATAACCTTCCTCGTTCCCAGTGTATGTTTTGGAAATAACCACATAAAGGTCTAGTGAAACTCTACATATGTTAATATCAGTTCCATTGTACTATCGTGCACCTTACGATACCTAAATATTATTTTCTTGGTTACAAGTTATCACTGTAACAATAAACCATTAATCGATTAATCATGTTTTTTAGTTTGAAACTGATAATACCAAAAACAATGAAACGACAGAAAGTTGACAACACGCAAAATATACTTATTATACGACCAAAAACACTAACGAAACTGGTCATGAATTGAAAGTTTTTATTCGGGTAATGAATATGACTCGTGAGACTTTTATTTCCAGTGTCATAACTAAGAAACTAAGGCCAGTGTGTATTATTGAAGTTGAAACTACTCAAAAACTTAGGTTCCCAAATAAAAACGTGATTATTAGGTGTAAATAAACAAACTGCAGAGTTCACATACTGCTCTACCATGTCTTAATATCTTACGGATCTCAACCTAGCATTTAATATCATAAGCCATATACTTCACGTTGAAAGGTAAAATCGTACGCTGCTAATAATTCAGCACATTTTTTACAAGGTATATGATTACCACTATACAATGGATGCCTCTACTGGTTTTGGTTTCTTAGCTTGTTGACTAGTAACCCGCTATTTATATTACATTTAGTCAGTCGCATAAACATGGCTGAAATCAAACGCAGTCGTACAATATCTACAACTTATATATGAAACAAGCCAAACGTTCTACAATTTTTATTTGGAAAATTTTTAAAACTTAATTTCCATTTTTTCCACTTACAACCTTTGTATCCATGGTGGATCCAGTTACTGCAGTGACAAATACGTTCTAAAAATGTAGCCACTAATGAGGTTAATAATTATAGGACTTGTAGAGATTATCGTGATAAATCACTTAAAATTACTAGTTAATCGTTCCAAAACTCAAATATCGTGGTCTCAGCCCTGTTTGAGGCTCATCAATCAGCTAAACCGTTTTTAAAGGAGAATGAACAAACGCCAAAGTGGTTGACATAGAATTAAATTGCCGATGTACCGTATACCAGTTATTGAGTCTAAATGAAACCCACAGACTGTACTACATCTTTCAAATAATATAAGGTAAATTTAAAGCTTCTGAACATCTGTTTAAGTCTTAATAAGATTATTAGTAAAAAAATACTGAACTACTAACATGAATCAGAAAAAGAATGAAATGGAAATCACAACACAAAGCATCTCATCAAGAAGTGCAAATGATATATATTTCAAAATTGTATTTTAAAATGAACATTCAATGAATTGTAGTGTTAAAACGATGGCGGCCAATGGACATTAGAGACTAACTTACCTCCTCAGCAGTATTCTGAAAACCATATAGTATGAACCATGATAAAATCTAATAGGAGGCAAATGCGACGTAATTGTTTTGGATGCTTTATTTTGTTAACCTGGAAGGCTAGAACTAACCGGTTAAATGCAAGTCCATACTGTAAACAATACAGTTGTTTAAGAAGCCACTGAACTAACCTTTCGAAGAATTATAACAGGTTTTAACAAAACCTTCTCTAAACAGGGACTATCATGCACAACGACTAATTCATGGATGAAATTCAGTATCCAGAGAACTTAAGTGATAGGGTTTGAAATCGGTTACAGAAATCCCGACCCATTTTTCTCTACCCTTTCATAATTTTCGGACACATCATCTTTCATCTATTTGTACAATGTTGCTTGCCTCTTTTTCCTATCGTTATTTCTTTTTATATATTGTGAAGCAAACTAACCTGAACCAGCATACTACAGCGCTCCATTTTGCACATCGTTTTGACTTCATGAAATGCATAATCTGATATGAATTACTTCATAGTATAGAAGACTAAGTGTTTCCTGTTCTAGTCTGACAAAATTTAGTGGCAAGTGATTGAAAAATAAGCAACGATCTATCTAGATTGACTGTATATTATTTGCATGAAGCAGTAACGAAGTATTTAAGGCACTTGACTTTCAACAGCAGGTCATAATTCCTGACCATCCCGCTTATCGCAGTTTGAGCAGCGATTTACTATCGATATCCCTCATACAGACAGTATAGCTCGAAGTCAAATACACAAAACTGTACAGTTGATAAATGAGTTACATGAATGATTTCCAAAATAGGCTCATCATATGTGTAAACTCAGAAACATCAACACAACGCAGAACTTAATCATCCCAATCTACCGAAGTTCCCTTGGTATTTCGCACAATTCGAGGATAAGATAGCTGATTTTGTTGGGAATGTACGATAAGCATTATGGACTAGGTAATCGTTCAGAATTAAAATATTCCCGAAATTTATTACTTTCGGATATACTAACCACTGATATGTGGCTCTGAAACCTAGCCAAATTACTTTTAGATGCAGAGGGGCAGGTTCATGTGTTAACTTATCCAAAAGATTTTGTACAAGCAGGTAGTATCAGCTCTTGTACTATATTTTCTCGTCACTAGGGAAAGTAAATTCCTTGAAATATTTAGTATTACCAGTTCCAAAATATTCTATATAGATCTTTTTCTACCCGATTGATTCCCAGAAACGGAAAGAAATTATCAATATTTAATGAACGATACAGTTTATCATACTATTGGATATAAAATAACCCCTCAAACAGTTTTATCAGTGCTTACCTCTTCGGGATCATCAACTTTGTAAGCAAACTTTCCAATCACATCACCCAGATTTTTCATCACTTTTATCGCTGCAGCACCGGACAGTAGTTGGGTGTTTGTTGCACGTGGTAGCTCTCCTTCATGCCGAAGGAACTCACAGACATCTTCATCAATATGTAAAACTGGATGTGAGAGTACTCGTGATAGGAATCTGTGAAATTATTAACAAAATTCCTACCGTTCTAAAGCTATTCGGCGACGTTCAACAAATTCATTTTCCGCAGAAACGTCCTTTGACATTTTAACTTTAGTTGTAGCTGAAGAGCATAAAACAAAACTAAATCGTTACCTAGCATATCTTTAGAAGGAACAGGGGGAACAATAACTCCTTCAGAAAGATACTTCGCGACTAACCTTTCATGCAACCCAAGGAAATCAGAAAACCGTCTGAGGACTGAAAATTCCTTGCCATTAAACTTGAAAATAATGTCATTATGATCACAAACCTTTGTATTAACACGATATACTATGTATGACGAAATACCCTCACCAACTTTTGCAGGGCTTGTGACTTTTACAAATGCAACATCGGAAACAGTGTTCTGAATTTCATCAAAATAAGGCTGAACATACTACAGTTTCTTTTCCAGTGTCAATGGGCGATATGTCATGTGTGACATTTCGTTCAGGTGTGAAACCTGTCCGCAGATAAGACTCAGAATTCAACGGTACATTTAAAGAGTTTTCAGAGTTTTCATTTAGCTAAACAAAAGCATAATTATGACAGAACACTCACGTCCAGCTCAGCAAACTCATCCTCTAACATTATGCGACTCTCAATAGTTGAAATGCCTGTGTCCAGGTTGGGGGTACTTAAGTATATGAAAACAAGACCAAGGTGCACAGATATAACAACCGTCGTTCTCTAACCAGGACAATAATCTAGAAGGGATAAAACAAAACTAAGGCTACCGAATAACAAGCGATCCAGTTTAATATTTTGATAAAAACTATTTTAAAAGGACAGTAGTAATGTTTCTTGAGTGAATGTCTTATACGAATAGATAACCTTCTTGTTGGGTGTACATAAAGTATGGTTGAAAAATATTTAGTAAATTTATCCAGGTTATGGTCTGGGTGTCAGCAGTCATTCTTTTATAAGCGGATAACTTTACAAGTCCTCTGCTGTTGTAAGCCTCATTAGAAGGCGAATATATGGGGGGAACAAGACGAAGAGAGTATTATGGCACACAATAAAGATCAAGAAAACTTACCAGAATGAACCCACATTTGAAAAATGTCATTAGATGCCCTCAAGCTCATTAAGACACATCCTCGTACCCATGTTAAGTAATTTGAGGTTTACTATTAGTCAGGGCGAAAAAAATACTGGAGATTGATGAGTTACAGCTGTTAAGCATCCACGAACATCTTAGGCAATACTTGAGAAACTCGATCACCGAGATATCAAGGAGCATATGAATTTGGGGTGTTTTTGTCCACAATTAGAGTATAATATATAAGCAGCCCGTCCAGTCAAAAAAGTGTAAGCTGGTGTAATAGTTTTGAAGAACTTGAAACACGCCAAAACACAACATTCCGATATTTCCGAGTGGCAGTAGATTATCTGAACCAAATAGTCTCTATTTCTTAAGTGAAGACTTCAGGTGACCCGATCACAATCATTAAGCTACCTTGCTTTTATAATAACAAGTTCAGGAAGACAAAAAAAGATCTCATAAGCTCATAATGGCTTGCGATAAAACTAGTGAAATTTCCAGAGAATCAACAAAATGTGGGAGTCTGTCATTAGTTATGAATATACTACTTGAAAGCAGAGAAACTTTATATGCATACAGTTTCCCGTTAACCCGCAGCATCTCGTCAAGTGTTTACTTAAACTTTCTTTATGTTTAATTATAATTGAGTAACCCATAATTTTGTGACAACTTTGTGCACTACTGGAATTTCTCGAAATCGTTTGAACCAAGTAACCAGCTATTGAATTCAAACCAATTACTTTTAGGCAAATGCATACAGAATATTATATTACTCTATGGCTGAACTTCAACAGCTAAAGGACTCTGTTGAGTAAACGCAAAAAGCACAAGTAACGCAACGCATATATCTGGCGCGACCGAGTAGCTTAGATAGAAGAGAACAGAATAAAAGAAGCTTTTCGCTTAACAGACTGCAGTATCTAGACGTAATAGATCACTGATGCATCCAGGTAAGAAACTAAGTATATTTAACAGGCGAAATATAAAGATAGATAAATTATGAAAAAGTACAGTAGCATGGTTGAAAGTAATGTCTGTCGTTCTCGCTCACATGAAGCGTGATATTGTGTACATTATGCAATCGACATTTTTCAGCTTAATGCTCCGATTTCGCTATTTTAACGACTTTAACGCATTTCGAACAGTTTTAGCTCATACTTTATGACAAATAATCTTGATCTATTTCTGGGTTTGTGCTCCATCTGTGAGATTACTACATCAGCTTTAATCTTGTCTTTCAAGACTACTAAACGCAGTATAGTTATAATCCCATTGTTAAACAGATTCATGCTGGCTTATTTTTAGACTATGAACTGAATTATCGCTCTCAGGTATTAACAAGCAAATCGTATTATTTGCCACGCCAGTTAATGTTGATATTTTATAATTAATTATAATATGATAAACTAGTATATGAACGGAGAATATTCTTTTCGATAGGTTCTCTTCAGGTTCTACAACTATATATCCAAATTAATAATCCGAAAAATGGCCAGGTTAAGGGCAAAGTACATCGTTTAAAGCATGTGAATTTAGGATTGTGATAAACAAAATACAATAAAATTGTTAATGTTAATATGACTCATATAGAATGTTAACTTGAATCTACGTATACGTTAAGTTAGATTTACGATCCATGATCAGAATAAATATGGGTCAAATAAGATGAGAGAGAAATAATAGTGCAATTAAAATTCGATCAAATAAGTAAGACGTAATACGGAGGGATGAATGCGAAGTGAATGAACCATGTATAGGGGAGATTAATGATGTTTAACCAATTATACGAATAATAATAATACGAAGATTTATGAACGAAGATAACAGGGACAATTACAATTGACTACGAAAGGTCATAGTCAAATTAGGTCATTCAATACTTAAGATTACGACTGATTAATTGGCCTTGATGTTGGCCAGGGGAGGAGGAGTGGTTGAATATATTCCTCATATACACATAGCTCCGGTTTCTTGATCCGGATGGCTACTGCTTCAGCCGTCTGAAGGACTTTCAGCCTGACCAGTTTTGGCAAAAAATTACCATTGGGTGCGTAGAAAATACTAATCGCAGTTCCCCGGCGTTAAAAGACTTTTGTATTGTCCTACGTAATCTCTGAGTCAGTATTTCACTAGCCCATCCCCTCTAAATCGTGGACGGATGAACAAGAATTTCTTCTTCACTGTTTGTAATTCGCCTACTTTCGCCTTCGTGACAATATATTTAATTATAAACTTTCTAGGGTAGCCGTTCCCCCTGAGAGTATTATGCAAGGTGTTAAGCTCTTGTTCGATTATATCAGCAGAACATATAGTGCGGATACGGTAACTAAGGGTTTTGATCAAGTTTCGTTTGTACTGTAGAGGTACAAAGCTCAGGAAATTCGTATACTGCCCAGTGCATGTACTTTTTCTGTTTAAGTTACTTTTTAACGATACATCCTCTCTCTTAAACAAGAGAACGTCCAAAAAGACTATTCGGCCCTCACTCTCTTCTTCACATGAAAAACTGAATGGCTGGATGCCCTTCACTAAGTCGCCTAAGGACCTCTTGCGGCGACGTATTATTTTTACAGAGGATGAACGTATCTACAGTAAAATGTGAAGTTTTGGATAATCTTTTTTAATGGACCATTTTCTAGTTTGGCTAGAAAAATATCAGCTAGTATAGGGCCCAGTAGTAAACCCATTGCCATTTTTCGGGTTATTAATTTGGATATACAATTATAGAACCTGTATAGAATTTATCGAAAAGAATATTCTTCGTTCAAATACTAGTCTTTTAATATGACGGGAATCTTTAAATGATTAATATCATAAACTTCATGCTAAAGTATAACTTGAGTGTGCTTTTACTTGAAAGTTTTTATGATTTCATTCATAAAAGAGCGAAAAGTCCTGGAGAATTCATCAATAAATTGAACTAAATCTGGTTAGTTTATACGGAAAACATGTCGTTTAGAAAAGCTCTCATACATTGCTACTTATTAAATACTAGGACTCAGTCGTAATAAGCATTCGTGTATATTTAGCACTTTCGAAGCTCAGGAATTTTATGTGGTTTCAATTGCGGGTGACAATTCTTGCCATTTATAACCGAAATAAGGGGCTTGAACTCTCAGCTTCTCAATACTGTTGAAAATTATCGTAAAAATTTCTGTAAATAAATGGTTCTTCACATGAACGATCCTATTTATTATGTAAACTGGGATATTCATTTTAAAAGTCGTATCTTTTAGTCAAATGTATCAGTTAAAACCGTTTTGTTTTCCCAGGGTTAGCGGTTAAATGTCACCCCTAGGTAGGAGTGGCCACACAGTTCTGATTCTGTCTTTCCATATGGTTATCCAAAACGAAGTGTCAGGTAGCACAAATGTTTGGAAAGCAAATGCACAGGAACTTGTAAAGTGGAGCTTCAGAATCATCAGAAATCTTGTGAATGGTCTAGAATTTTGTAGTATCCGTAAATGTTTGCAAGTGGATAATGCTCCATAGTTGTTACCAAGTTACATATATAAAGAGTGAATAACAATGGGATTTTCGTGTCGGTAGATACTCTTCTTTTGAGGAAACCAGACTATTTGTTGAATAGATCTTTATTCTGAGCACTTGGAGAGCGACGTTTTCTTGCACATAACGTTTCCAACACTCAATACAAATCAAATAAAATATCAACACAATATGAGGAAGTAAGTGAATATTTGGAATATAGTATTTTGATATCGCTCAGATGTCTTCAGCCAACTCTCAACCAATCAGCCTATGTTGTTACGTCAGCTTCCTCTTGGAATCTACCTCCATAGGAATATAGGTTCGATCAGTTTATCAAGCAATGACATGTCGGTTCTGTTTCCCCAGCCCAATAAAGAGTTACTGACTCGTTCAGTACTTGACCTCCAATCAATGACGGCCACTGCCCAGTCAATATTTAGGGCTACTTCGTAGATGTCATATATCTCACGAGCTTCTTATCTTAATTAGTAACATTTACCTTCTCACAAATTATCGAGCATGACTTAGTGAACGTGCCCTCATTATGGAGAATCTAGCTTGCAAGAAAATAAAAGGTAAGAAAATGAAACAGGGTTATCTGATGAAGGTCAGTGAGCAGGTTACTGAACACCATGTTGGTGACGTATGGTTTTCCCATGATCTGCGGGCTACGAGGCGTCTACTCGCCTTCCTCTTGAGTCACCCATAGTTAAAACCATAGAGGAATCTGCCTCGAAAAAAGGAACTAAAGTCATTCAAACCTGAAGAATCCCTGCACTGTGAGCACAAAATTATCAGATACAAAAAGGGGATGCACAATTATAAGTGATAAATATCGTGTTTTACACAAGTGTTTGACTTCACAGAACGTGTTGGTAATCTGGTAGGAAATAAACATTGTGTGGACATCTTAAACACGAATATTCACTAAGCATAAAAGTTACTTTGTGAATAAAAAATATCAGTATAAACCTTCCAGAAGTTGAATTCACCGTGCAACTCGATTAGAAACATGACCCTGAGTTTGTGACGACCGCTCTTTAAAACTCGGTCCATAACTACAGATACATAAATTGTCGTCTGTCCAGGAATAATAAGAATACAAATATATAAAACAATAAAAATGCTCAGACTTCTGGAATCGAATCAGCATATTAGGATCAGCGACATAATCATAGTCTTGTAGTGGTTGATATCTAATATAATCGTTGAACTTCGTATACAGCTCGTCCTGATAACTGTCACTAGATAACGGCCTGACAGTATATTAATCAGAAGGCGAATATGAATCGTTGATTAAATTTATTATTGCATCACACACGGATAACCAAAATTACATGTACGCCAAGCAGGCATGAAAGAGCAGTGCTGAAAAGCTAGCGGGCAAGCGAGTGAGCCTGCGAATTGAATGAGCGAGTCAACTAACATGATTAATATATATATAGTGAATTGAATCAATCATCAAACCAGTTGAGCGACTGATGGTAAGGGTAGCAGAATGAATATATGCGTAGGCAGTAAGCAATGCTCAAACATAGATATTCATACAAGCGCAACGATAATAAAGATACAGTGGTTGTTATTGTACGAATGACTCTATCTGCCAGATAAGTTAGCAAAAGGGCTTGACCAAAGTAAATGTGAACAACCTCAATTGTACGTAAGCTGCCATAGTCTTATAGGCTAACCATCTAATTACCTTGATGCTAATGTGCATGCCATAGTAAGACTATATATCCTAAAGTCACCTAGGAAGCTGGTCTGTTTGTACAGTACAAATACGCTCGTTCTGTTAGTCACAAGTGTCGCTAATGATCAGCCAATGAAAACGAATTCTGTAAGCCATTGTGGTCTTTTGGTTAAGTGCGTGACCTAGCACCTGAGAGGACGATAGTTCAAATGCGTATGGGGCAGTGCTTTTGTTCCCGAAGCGTGTCCATATTCGATATTTGCAGATTTAAAATTACTCAAACATGGGTAAAGAGCATAAAAAAGTTTTTAATAAGAATTCTTGATGGATTCCCAAAAGTAGGTGGGTTCTGTGGTCTGAATGTTCCACTAGCCTTCCATTTACTTAACTGAATATGAGTTAATACGATCGTAATGACTGTCTTAAAATTTTGTAAATCCATTGTGGAAATGTTGTGAGTATTGTCATTAGCACCAATGAGTACCGACATTAATAAATTAGAAGTAAAAATAATAGTTTGAATAATCTAAATGAATCTGAGTTACCTGATTACACTACAAATCATGCTGCAGAGATATTCGTCAACTTAGTGCATGTCAAACTTAACATGTAAAAATGACAACGAGAACCAATGACATGCGCTGAACAACTGTTTGATCTAAAATGC